AGTCAAGGGGGCTGATTAAATCACTTACTTGCTTTTATTCCTGCATGCTGTTTTTGTGTCTCCTTTTGGAATCTGCCATTCCTTTTTCTTTGTCTTCATTGAGAATGGTAACTGAAATACTGCAGGCGCTGTATTAGTAGTATTGAAGGGGCTTTGGTAGTTTGGTTTGGTTAGTTTGTTGTGGTTTTTTAGAAATTATACATCATTAGTTCCTGAAGTCTCCCCCGTGGAGCTGAGATTATTGTTAGTAGGCAGCATTTACCAGTATTACAAGCTTTAAGCTAATTTTGAGATACTTTTTAACCTTTAAAAGTAGATGAAAGTGACTGAGGTTAATAGCTGAGAAGTCCTGGCTTTCAATGTTAATATCAGACTTTTTTTAGATGCTTTATCTTCCACTCTTCATTTCTGATCACAATTTGTGTGTGTCACACACATATCCATGCTTGGCACAAGCAGCTCCCGAGTTGCTCTTACAAGGATTTAAGAATGGTCAATTTCTTTGCCTGTGTTACCTCATCATTTACCTAATGTATTAGTATTTTAGTTATTAGTACAGGACTGTCATTAGAAGTCCTCATCTCCAGCCTTGAGAGTCTTAGCTCACTGACAGAAGTACAGGAGTCTTGTTCCTGTCTTTGCTATTGCTGTACTTTGAGGATTTTCTCAAATTATTTTTTAGTTTACAAATTCACATTTGTAAAGTCAGCGGTAAGGCCACATCTAAGAATGAAGAAAGACTGAATCCATCTTTATTAAAGGATTTTGAAAGTTTGTCTCATGAAAAGCAATTAGTAAGTGTCAGCAGTTGCATGTAGATTAACTATAGCCCTAGAAATACACATTTAAGAAGCTGTGGTAAAGTTCATTTGCTGATCTCAGTTTCTGGGATGTATTTCAAAAGAATTAACTTTGCATGGTCCATATGTGTGTGTGCACATTTTAACAGGATGTCAGTTTTCATCTGTCCCCTACCTCAGAGCTGCTGTGGTCAAATGCTGCATGTCTTGTGCTGCTCTGTGAACCACCACCTTCCTTTCTCAGTTTGAGAGTGTGAAGCTGTAGTATTTCTAGCTAAATGTCTGCTGAGCTGGAATATCACAAAGCATCAGTTACTGTGATTTCAATAAATACAGAGCTGTACTATGTTGAGGGAAGGAAAATTGTGGAAGTAGTTTTCTATGGCACACAATGGAGTCATTTTCTAAACTATTCTCAGTGGTGTTTTCAGCTGTAAAGGCTGTATTCAGGTGGGTGTTACCTCTTTTCATAAGAGTCTTAAAGGTGGAGGAGGAATTAAGGTTCTGCACTCTTATGTTGCAGTGTCTTTGGGTCAGCTTCTGATTTCTGCACATTGTCTTAGTTTAGAGAAGCCAAATATCCATCAGAGAATCCTAATACCTGTTTCACTCAGGGCTTTTTTGAAGTTTAAATGGTTAAATGCTGCGTGAGAGCTTGGCTGAATAGTTGGAATCCCTTTCAGAAAACATTGTGTTATGTGCCAAGACCAGACACACACCACTACAACAACAGCTCAAGTACAGGTTAAATGCTCTTTGTATGTGACATTTTAGGTACATATCTTTCTTAAAAATGTTAAAGCTACTCTAATTGTTGCCAGATTTATAGAAAGAACACTATTCTACGTCATTGCACAGTAAGCTGTTTACATGCAACTTTCTTTGAGGAGAGCTACTGTAATTAGAGTAGTGATTTATTTTATGTATAAAGTGAGTGGGAGCTACTGCAGTGGGAAGTTGAGGACGAGGTTGAGCTGAAGGCTGAGTAGGTCTGTGGTCTTCACCAACCCTGGAAGTCACTGCACACACCCTGTCATCTCTTAGTAAGTTCTTTTTCTCTTTGGTTGTAATCCTTTATGCAGCCACGACAGATGTGGTGTGGAGGAACCGAGTCTCCTTCACTGGGCAGTGGTGTTTGCATTCCTGAGCTCTCCTTTTACACCTCTGGTTTCCCCCAGAGTCAGCTGCTGGAGGAATAGCCAGCAAAGATCCGCACCTCTGGAATATGGTAAAAATGTAAAGATTACCACATAAAGTGTAAAGATTAGCAGGTCTGAGCTGAGACAGTGTTTCCTTACTGCAGAGGTGTTACAGCTTTTTTAAGGCATGGATGGAAGCTTGGGGTTTATCATGATCCTTTTATATCTGGGTATTGTTTTCCTTTGTAAAATATAATAAACAAAGTGGTCTTGTGCTTCTGTTTGAGACAAGAAGCTTATTGCTACATTAGGACCTTTGATAGCCATTTCAGATAAAATTCTTGTATAGTATTACTGCCTTCTTTCAGGGAGTGTGGCTGGGCTTTTTTTTTTTTTTTTTTTTTTTTTTTTTTTTTTTTTTTTTTTTTTTTTTTTTTCTTTTCTTTTCTTTTCCATTGCTTCTGTGTGTTTTTCCCAAATGTACAACTTTGGCTTCATTTCTTTTCTGTATCTTTTGGGTGTGGAGATGCTCACGAAAGTCTTTGTGGATGTTTTAATTTTTTGTGTGTTTACTCCTCACTTTAAAACTGTGCATGTAACACCCTAAAATAGATCTGGTTGTAATATTTTGAAGGGAATTGCCTTGAAGCATCAAATACTTCTGAAATACCCCATGGTATGGCATCACTGAAAGATGTGTTTGGACCTACTAATGGATTTGTAGTAGTTCTTTTTAGTAGCCTATATCATCTGTAAAAATAGCAGTCCCAAACTGATTTTTGTAGTGAATTCTTTGTATGATGGTTTAAAACTCCAGAAGATAAATATTTTCCTTATAGGCCAGACCAATCATGTGAACCCACATTTTGGGTCATTATAAGGAAACCCATTGAAAATGGGAGTGAGGCTCCTCCACTTAGCTCAGTTGAACTATCTTGCTTTAACTTGGTGTAATACTCAAGTAACTGTCGTGGATGCAGCCTTCAGTGGGTTTTCAGAAGTTACAGACCTGGTGACCTGTGGAAATATTTCATGTTATGTTGTTTCTTGTGAACAATGAAACAGCAAATGGCATTCCCAATGTTACCCCCCCTCCTAAGAAGTAAAATTCTGAACTTTCTCCTCCATGACTCCCCAACTCTGACAGGAAATATTAGAGCTGCGTGTTGTGGTTTGTTAAAAAATGTGCATTTCTGTTCAGAATTGTTTGTCAGTCTCTCAGAAAATTACAAGTAATTAAATAGAAAGTTCTACAGATTTGTGCCATTTCTGTACCCTCTCATCTCAAGATGGTGTGAGAAGCAGACAATTGTAATAACTTGCTGCTACTCCTTTCCAGCTAATTTGATCTTGTTCCTTAATTCTGACAGATTGTTTTTAATTTTCCCATCTGTTCCATAAAAATCTCAAGTGATTGACTCCTAGGAAAAAAATAATGTCTAATAGCTGAGCCATTTTTAATGAGTTGGTATGAGTTATTTAATGAGACGTGCTGAAGAAGGCAAGCCAAAGGAAAGATTGGGCCTGGGGTGGTGGATGTAAAGAAAGGTAAAGGGCAACCATCTGCTTCAGGAAGCTTCCACTCTTCATCAGCAGCTTTAGGCTGCTGCTCTCTCCACTTTCAGGCAGTGCCCGTGGACAAAACAACAAAGGTTCAGTGGCAGTAATTCCTTTTCCCCTTTTGTTTAGAGCAGTGTCTGCCCTCAGACACTACTGCTTTGGGGAGAGGATCAGTCATGAAAAGGAAAAAAAAATCAAAGAATAAAAGAATAATATTTAAATAACCTTAAAACTATTATGGTCTGTGGTTTAACTTCATTTCTTCCAGCACAAACTCCCAGATATTCCAGAAAGAACCCTAGTGCCAGGAAACAGAGTGAATGTTCTCCTCCAGCCTCTCTGAAGGCTAAAACTTTTGCTTTAAAATTGCCTGCAAATAGCATCTCCCAGGGCAGGAAACCATCAATATGCAGTACAGGTCTTTGAGAATAGCAAGCATGAATATAAATACTAACATCTGGACTTCTCCCTTCTGTTTTGGTTTTATATATTATTATAATAAACATTAACATTGTTTTTAATAATCATCAGATAGCATTTTCTTTGGCAGCTTGAGACTTCATTATTAAATCAAACAGTGAAAATAAATATACCGCTCTTTTACAAGAAAAGTTGAAAGTTTGACTCAGCCCTGCAAATATGCCATTGTGAGTCCAATCCATTGTAGAATTCAGAGAATAATGAATTAACGTCTCAATTGCATACAGTGAGGCAGAACAAATGAGAGAATGCTGTCATGGTAATGAGCAAAATATACACTTGTTTTTTCAGGTGGCAGTGGGTAACCAACTAAGGAGAAAAACTTTAGTCTGCATTTTCTTAAACTTTCATTTAGTAAAACCTGGGAGTGTGTTAGGCAAGCAGAGAGCATCAGTACTCTACACATCCAGAGCATGTCCAGATGCTCAGCCCATCAGGTGTCCCCGTGACACATAGTGCAGGCAACCACTGAACGTAGCAGGTGAAGCTGCTGGATTAAATTTATACAAAATTGGACTTGGATGGTGTTGTTTAGAAACCTGACTCAGCAAGAAGCTGCAGATAGGAGATGCTCTGTGCTTATACAGAAGTCACTGTCTCTGAAGGAGACTAGACTGTGCCTGAGGTTTTGACTATCCTAATTTGAGACTGATATAAGGGGAAAAAAATGTTTTTATTTGTACGGATTTTTTGCTATCTAGTACCAGTGTTCTTAGTCTGGAAGAGGAGGTGGTGGTGGTCTTCCTGTTAGGAAGAAGGAATTGATTGGTGCTTATTTTGCATGCCAGGAGACAAAAGGGACTTAATTTTGAGCAAAATTGTCATGGGCTTTGGGAACATGATCCATTATCTATCCCTGTAGATGGATTTTGGACAAGGACCTTGCTGCGTCGCGGCTTTAGTAATAAATCTTACATGTATTTATGTAGTTGAAATTAAATTCACAAGATGTAAGTTGAATAGTTCTGCATTAATCCTTCATAAAGCATTGATCTTTTGGTGTTTTTATCTTCCTCCTCAGTGTGTCAATCCTGATCTTTAATACTTCTCGGCAGTGCTTTGTTGTGGTGAAGCAGTTCCGCCCAGGTAATCCTCTCTTTTACATTTACTTTTACTCTCAACTGAAGCAGGCTTTTAAGGGTTTAGCAGTTAAAAATTGGTGCATCTGTGGTGATAAAATCCTTGTTCTATATTCTGTTTCTTTGTATGATAGCCCATCCTTTTCAGTCAGTCATTATTTCTAACCAGGGAAATTTCCATTACAGATTAAATGAATGATCGGGTTAGTCTTGCATTCTGCTCTGGGCTGGTTATTGTCCTTTTTTGGATTAAATTACAACTCTACAATGATCGTGCAAGAAATTGCTTTAATTTGAAGTTCCTTCTTGACCTATGTGTACAGAAGCACAGTATTTTCCTTTTTATTTTGTTTCATCTTAAATATTCTTTTTATTTGTACTGTCTTACTGTGCATTGTGCAGTTGGGAATTTGAAATGAGGGAGATTCAGGACTGTATGCTCTTTTACCAGTATGTGGACAACTTCATTTTACCAGTTATTATGAATTTAGGTTAATACGCTTTTTTTTTTCTGAGTTTTTGTATCAGTTCTTTTCACTCAAAGCAATATTTACTTTCTGGAAGTTAAAAATGAAATGCGTATTCACTGCATTTTAATTAAAAGAAATGACAAGGTATTTCACTGGCTGTTGCTAAGAGACAGTTTCAAGACTGCTCATGGTAGACTTTATAGAAAACTTTCTAGGGTAGTGTCACACTGCCCTTTCTTCCTGACAGTGATTACAGCCTCTCCAGTGCTGTGCAGCAGTGTTACATTGAGAGTGCATCCTTCTCGTCGAGTGCTAATTGACTTGTATAAAGTGTTTGGTTATTTGTTCATCACTAATCCACTGTCTTTTATTTGCCAGCGAATAAATGGCTCCCACAGCTCTTGCTCTCTTTGAGGCAATCTTAGGGAGATGTGTGTGCATGCATATATATATATTCACACACGTATATATATATATGTGCTGAGCAGCAACACATTCATTGCATTATCTCTATGAAGGTGTCAAGTCAGCCTCAAAAGACTGGAATTAAACCATTCCAGAGTCTGGAGCTGCTCAGACACCTGGCCAGTGGTCAGTCAGATACCCCACAGCACTTCTGTGACCACAACCATGCCCTGCCCTTACTCACATCCCTATATTTATAATTATATCTCCATTCCATGGTAATTGTCTACCCTGGTGCCTGTTCCACAAAGCTAAGACAAAGGCTGAGGCTTTTCTCCTTGCCAGATCCCACCAGGGTCCCACCAGGAAGGCGATCTCTCGTTGCTGGGAGGGAACAGCTGCCGCTCGCTCTGCAGGCACGTCCCCTCACGTGTGCTGGTGCCATGTGTGCTCGCCTTTCCCTAGGCTGTGCTGGCAGGAGCAGCTTTTCCCACTGGTGTCTGTGCTGCTTGTAAAGGCACTCATCCCTCCCATTCTGTTTGGCAGCAGCAGCCCTTATGCAGCCACAGCAGAATGGCTGCAGACAGGAGGTTTTGAGGAGCAGGGAGCTGAAGGAGTTCATGCTGACTTGAGGGTGGCAGAAGCACACAACCAGTGAGGCAAACAGTGTGCTCTGGGGTTAGATCATCCTGAATGATCATGAAATCACACATTTGGGAGGAGCAGAGAGAAGAAAGATAAGCATCTCTGGATATGTACCTCACCCATGACTAATTTGCAAAGGTATTGGTCAATGCTTATTTTGGTAGACAATTGACCACACATTTTCAAATATAATAAAATTATATGTTGCGAGGGTTGGGACCTATGAAAAGGCACTCTGGTTTATTAACTGTAAGTATATTGACGTTTCAATGGATTGTGATGTTTGTTTTTCCACTGACTTAAAATAAGCAGTATCAAAGATTTGAATCATAAGCCATGTTCCATTTCAGGAGGTAGGAAACACCAGTGCGGTCAGAAGTTTAGAGAGGAGCCAGCGCCTTCCCAGACACTGCCTTCCCACTGGCTCCTCAGTCCCTACTGTTTTCTTCTGTTTAGGGACAGCAAACAAGTCCCTGTATGTGTCACCTACAAAGGCTGCTTTTAATAACAGCAGTGATCTTCTTTGCTCCCTTTGGTTGAACCATCTATCCTTTGTCCCACGTTACAGAAAAGAAGGTGAGAACATCAATTCTACTGGAGTTTCCACTCTGAGTGGAACCTTTCTTACAGCCGAGTGGCTCCAGGGTGATTAGTACAGATGTGGATTCCATCACTTCCTTGTGAAGCCTTTTCCAAAGCCTGACAACCCTTTCTGTTGTCATTCTTCCTGATGTGCAGCCAGAAGCTGCCCTGGCACAGGTTGGTTCCTCACCGTGCTGCCGCTCGTGGCCATCTGGCCATGGAGGAGACTGCCCAGCAATGGTGCAGAGGCAGTTCCTGGCCAAGGAAGCATTGGAAGACAAGGGAACAACAGACATGGGATAAGTGGGTGGGTGACTGTGCTGGGGCTTCTGGATTCTGCTTTCCAAACTCTTTATGGATTTGCAGTAAGATGACAACCTGTGGTGAGGAAGAGGAGGGTCACAGGTTTCCCTCTGAAGAGTATGCCTTAGCCAGTAGGTCACACACTGCTTTTCCATCCAGTTCTTTATCATCCAGTGCATCTCTTGTGCAGTCAGTTTTGCACCTTCAAGAGAGTTATGGGAGGTTCTCTGTTCCCTGACATTAGAAGGCAGCTTGGCTTTCTAGGCTTTGCTTATCTGTGAGAGTTGAGTTTGAACTTTTGCAAGCCAGATGATACTAAATTCATAATCAGACTCGTTGGTGAATGCTCTAATATTTGGGCTCTTACAGAAGTGGCTGGTACTGCTTCTTTTCTTCCTTATCTACAGAGCAAAACTGTTCCTGGGCTTGAAGTGTGGCCATATCACAGGACTTTGCTCTGAAGAGGACTCTGAATTAGGTCCTTCTGGGAATGTAGGTTTTGATCTACGTGGGGTGACTTGTGCTGAGGGAGGAGAATTGCAGGTGCCCAATGGAATGACAGGATAGGTTTCAGGGATACAGAAGAGTTTTAACACTTTTAAGTCACAGCTTCATATGTCTGTACCCCACACTCTTACCTCCATCCTGTTTTAGTATCCAAAGCCTTTAAAGGATGCATGTGTTGTTCTTTTTTTAATTATCTGATATGGGTATGTCAGTACTAAAAAAGAAATAAAACTTTCAGAGGATTTGGCTCGTCTCAGAGAAATCTTGGATGTGGTTGTCATTTATGATAATTTTCCTAGCTTTTAAAAGTTTTTGGAATAATGACAATAGACACCCTTCAAGGAGCTGTCCCTTAGAGCTGGCAGGGTATATTTTTTCTGGCTTCATGCTGCACTTAAAAAAAACCCCTTGAGCTCTAAATCATGTCTCTCAAGTAAGAAATGGAAACTCCAATCCAAACCTGTTTGAATCTCAAAGACCTGGATATACGTAAGACTAGCAGCTTTGAAAGTTTTAACTTCTGGAGGAAGATTAGATTTTGGATATTGGACTGATCTTGACATCTCCCTTTCAATTGCAGATCTTGCTATTCTGCACTTCTGAGGGGTCAAAATGAGCACTGCAGAAAGAGCCCAGGCACAAATTGCTGGGGTCTAGACTCTGCCTCAGAGACCAAGTGCTTAAGAAGTCACTGTGGAACTTCACTGTTATGCAACAACATTTCTCCAGAGACCTTGTTTTAAGAAATACAAAGCTACAGTATCTGGAAGGACAAAAATTTTATCAATTTTGCAAGATTTAGAATGAGAAATAAAAGAAAAACTAATCTGAAAACCATGTTACGTGTATGTGAAATATGTTTGAAAAATATTTTAATGGAATAAAAATAGGTTCAAAGTTTAAAACAGTTTTTTTCAGGGTGGTTTATAACACTCTCTTGGAAACCTTTCATGAAAAGCAAGGGGATAGACATGAGGAAATTTCAAGGAAAAAACAAGTGGAATTATGCCTGTATATTAAAGTTGCAATGATCTGGAGTTGTCTGTCAGTAGGGATTCTTTGTGTGTTGACATCCAGTCCTGCAGTTCTCACTCAGGCAAAATTTCTGTTGACATCAGTGAGAGGTTTTGCTTAAATAAGGACTAAAATCTGACATTTGCACTTTCTTTAGGAGTGCCTTACAGTGGCAGCTGTTTGTAGATTAGTTCAAGAAGTCTTTTTCAGACTCCACACAGGAATCTGTGCAAGGAACTGTATGTTCAAAAGAGGATTTTTTTTTTTTTTTCAGACAAACATACATGCTTTTCATACCCTTTCTAAATAACAGCTGAGTTGACAGGCTGAAAGACTCATCATTGTGCACATGGTACTTCATGTGCAACCCAACTTTCCTGCAAGATAACTGCATAGTTTAAATTAAATCCCAATATCTTCATTGCCCAAAAAATGGGAGCTGTGTGGTGCTTCTGGCATTTCAATTTCTTGAATGAACTAGCTTCCTTTTTCAATTTTTGTTTATTTTAAGGTGTGCATGAATTCATTTCAGATGATGCAAGTACAAATAAGAGTTTAAAGAATAATTTTACGGACATGGTAAGAGAACCTTTGTTCTTTAAAATTCCAGTTTTGTGTGTCATTATTTTAACAGATAACACAGCTGAATTCCTTGTTACTCTCAAGTACTCTCATGGTTGTTAAATTCCAGGCAAAATTTGTCTGCCGCCCTTTTTTATATTTAATACGAAGAGACTAACATACTGCCCCTTGTTTCTTTTTCTTTTTTCTTTTTTTTTTTTTTTTTTTTTAAGCTGTTTACATGTGTGAAATAGAAAGGCATCATCCTCAAGTCTTTGAGAATCAGGATAAGGAGAGCTTCCCTTCCCTGGAAAATCCCTTACCTGCTGTGGTTGGAGTGACCTATGAACTCTGTGCTGGCATTGTGGACAAACCAGGCCTTTCTTTAGAAGAAATTGCTTGTGAGGAAGTTTTGGAAGAGTGTGGCTATTGTGTTTCCATTGCAGACCTCAGGAGGATCACTTCTTACAGGTAAAGGGCAGCAAGTTACAACACTTAGCATTTTGTCATTTCACAGATGCTGAAGTGGCTTGGGTGTTCCCTCTTGCCTTGTTTAAGCAGAGTGTTGGAGGAACCTGGGCATCTGAAGGTACAAGAAAGGTGTAATTTTTAGTAAGTGAGAGGAGTATTTACAGGAATGTAAGCAATTAGAAATATCTAATCTATATGATAATTATGGAGTTGAATTCCCAGGAAGAATCATACCATTGTGACTTATACCAAAGACTGTTATAAAGGGAAGAAGTTGCATTGGGCTCTTCAGAGTTTGGCACAGCACCAGAAAACAGCCCATCTTTACTATACTGGGTGTTTTCCACCTCTGATCCTTATTACTCAAATTAACAATAGAAACTGCCCAAGATGCTCTCTGATTAACCTTTAACATGATTTTGCAGAAGCATGAGAACCTGTGGCATTAGATCTCTTCATAATATTTGGTCTGTAATTAAAGCTTCTTTGAGTTGGACAATAATTATTGTTATATATGAAGATTTCGCAGATTTGACTGTGAAAATTATTACATTGTATTTTTGCAGGGTTACAAAGAGTTATCAAAATAGTTTTTAACATATTTTAAAGCATTTATTAGGAATAAAGGGAAAAATTAATTTGTAAGTGGAAAAATACAAAACGTGAGTTGTTGGTAAAAAAACCACAAACAAAGAGAAACTTTGCATACAGCTTTAATCCTATTATATCACATTCCCAGCTTTTAGTATTGTTATCCAAAATATATGTATGTTTGTATTTTACAGAAAAAGCAGCGGGTTTTTTTTACTTTCTTTATTTTACTTGACAACTCCATTGAACTAGGCACTGTCATTGGTTTTTAATTTGGGAATTGAATACAAATCCACAGCTGTCAATCCTGGCAAATGTTATTTCCTGCTGGATTAACAAGCAGTGCTTCTGTTGAGGGGAGGGGGTGAATCACAGGAGCTGTCTTTTACAACTCATTGAAACCAGATTAAGGGTTTGTTCTACTGAAAGAAAAAGTGTCTTCCAGATTTATGAGCAAAAGCTGTCCATAGAATTTCATAGCTTGGGTGACACTGACAGGCTGCTGCATGCAGATATATACATATGTATGTGTATGTATGTGCATACAAATGCAAAAGAGGAAAAGTAGAATACAATTCCTGTAGAAGGTTGTAGATTTAGTGCAAAAGTTCAAAAGCTTGACCCAATATTAATGATTTATATCTGCATAAACTCTCTGTGTTTTGGTGTTGATAAATGTCTTTATATGTTACAGGTGGTTGTTCATTCAGTTGCCTTTTTTTTTTTTTAATTGCACTGACTTGTGAAGAGTGTATACAATTGGGATTTTCTTTGTTGAGACCTTTGCAAAGAGCTCATAATCCTCCTTTGTCCATGTGGACACAGCTTTCTGCCCATGGACATCCATGCTGAAGTCAGAAGGGCCTGTATAATTTTTACATTTTTAAATTAATATGAAAGTTTAAAACCTCAAAGATAATATTTCACAGGGTGTGATTTCCCATGCTCTATTACTAGGATTTTATTCCAAATATTTTGGTATTCCTATTAGGAGTGTCCTGATTTCCTTCAGCCAAGGATTGGCATCTTTCTGATCCTTGAGGATTTGATGCCAGGACAGGAAGTAATCAGTTCATTTATGACATTTTTTCTGTAATGGCTGCACTACATATAAGAATTCCTGGGCTTTTTCTAAGTGCAACAGGTTTTTCCAAGTGGCTTATGCTGCTGTTTCATGCTGTGACTGTCAATACAAAGCACAGGCATAAACCATTGCATTAATGCATATGGATGCCATTACAATTGCAGTGCATCCTGCACTTCTAGTCTTGTCTCCCATCCCAGCAATCTGTGTAATAGCTGCTCTGCATTATTTATTGATCCAGTGCCTCAGGTCAGAGTTTTGGGGGGCTCTCTCTAGATGGCTCCTCTTCCAAAGATCAGCCTCTGCTGGACTGGCACCAGTTGTGACAGATGTGCATCTGTGCTTTCTCTCAAATCTGAGCATTCCGTGGCCTCTTTCAGAGGGTTTTGGCATTCTGTCTGAAGTGTCTCATCTGTCTCTACCACAAGCAACTTTCCCTTCATGTCTTGCCTAAATTTCCCTTTCTTTACTTCAACACTGACACTTAGTACTCTGTCCCCAGTGGACATGAAGTACTTCTGCCCCTTCCACCTCCTTGGTAAAGCATGTTCCCTTTACTTTATTTTTGCCTGTGCAAAACTATTTTAATTGATTTAGTCTTTTTCTTCAGATCATATTTTCTAGATATCTGATCATTCCTTCTGCTGTCCTCTGCCTTCTCTCCAGCTGGTCTGCATATTTCTTGAAAATTTAGTGCCCAAAGTGAAGCACAGTTCTTTAGTGGGGGCTTTCCTGGATAGGGTGGAAGCATTATCTCCCCTAGTCTCACAGATCATTCTTTATATACTGGAGTTTGTTGTTTGCCTTTTTTGCAGAGGCATTGCATTATTGATATAATTTATCTTCCACAATGCCTCTCCTGTCTCAAAACTAGGTTTTGAACCTGATGATCCTTGTGGGTCCTTTCCAATTCAGAATATTCCATGATTCTGCCTTGTCATTCACCTCCTGTCCGTATTCTGTGTCATCACAGCCTTTGAAAGCAGGGAGTTATACTCCTAATGACACCCCTTGCTGGAAACATGGTCATCAGAAGGAAATTGCCTACCTGGAATAAAAGCAGGAGTTGAGCTAGAGCTGACAGAAGGGCATGAAGAGCCAAAGACGCATCAAATGTAAAGGGAGAAATGGTTTTGGCTAGGAAGGTCAGTACACTTCTGTGCCTAATGGATTAAGAAAGATAGAGCATGGACAATCCATAGGGAGAACTTAGACTATGGGGAAGAATTGAAAATTAAGGCCTTGAGTGGAAAAAGAGGAAGAAGAGATGAAGGAACAATACAGAGAAAAATCATAGGCCGAGAACTAAATGTACCTGGGGAAAGTACATTCACTGTGGTAGAGAAGAATTCTCTGTAAGGAAATGAGGAAAGTACTTAGACTGCATTAAACTTTGCTCTGTTCTTTTTTCTATAACTGTATAGGTTAGAGGTAATCTGAAGATAGCAGGGATTTTCCTCATTTATTATCAGGGCCTGTAGCAGTGGTTTTGGGGCATTTTTTTTTTTTAGTGCTTCTCAGCTAAACTGGGAAGCGTGAGCCCAGTACTGCCACAGGTAATTCATACACGCACTGGACCCCCTTATTAAGCTCTGTCAAAGCTCCAGTGACATGATTCTCATCACATGGAAGTCAGACAGTGAATTAAGCACATCTCAGACTTAATTACCTTGAATGATCCACAGAGGAGCTGTGAAGTCAATGAGGAATGAGGAAAGAAGCCAGGAGTTGGGGAATTTAGGCCATTTGAGTAAGAGTCTTTGGAACAAACTGTTCCAGCAGCAGGAGGACAGTATGGTGTGGGTGAGTGAAGGAGGCTGGGCTGGGGGCAGATAACAAGAAACACAAACATATTTAGAGGAACTTGACTGGAGGAGGACAGAGGAATCACACTTCAAAAATCAGAAATATCTGTTCCTATTATAGAAAAATACCAGACAGGAGGAGAATTGAAGTGCAGATGGTTCATGTTGCTGTGTAGACAGAGGAGGGATCATTCTGAAAAGAATCTGTATTGTTTGCAGCCTGTGTGGCGAGTTTAGTATCATCACTCCACAAATTTCTACTTTTGTGCTTGGCATCCAGTAACTTCATTTTGGTATGGCAAAAAGGTTGGTTTGAATTATGGCAGCAGCTAATTCACTTTTTGAGACTTCAAGAAGTTTTGGTGGCTGCTGATGTCTTGAATTCTTGTCAGTTGTATGTATGGCATCAGTGAAAAACAGCATAGGTGGTTGATGTGAGAGGTATAAAGGAATTAGCTGGTGCAATAATAAATTAACAAAATGAAGCTAGTCCTATTGTACTATAATTATATACTGTGGATTCATAAAGGTTGAAGTTAAATTCAACATTTTTAAAAACTCTAAAAGAAATCTGTGAGCTTCCCTTAATGTTTAGGGGTTTTTTCACAAATTCAAATTTTTTTAAGTGAATGTCTTACTTTGGACTTACTCATGTACCAGATATAACAAATTTTCTCTCTGTCATGGTATCCCATCAGTTTTCTGATTGAATCCCATGTGCTGAAATTCAGCTGTGAGTTAGTTTCTTGGGCTGAACTGCTTCCAGCTATCTGCCTTGAAACATGTTTCCTTACAAGACAGGGGCAGGGAAATAAGTTGTTGTTGTCGTCGCTGATGTTATTGTTGCTATTTCAAAGTATTTTCTTTTAGTTCTTGAAAATATTGGTTGTCCTGAAGAATATTTATAAAATTAATTGGACTTCAGTAACACCTCAGAACATCAGGTAGAGTTGAACTGGAGCTTCTAGTTCAGCTTCCTTTTCCCTTCATTACATCTTTCATTTCTCCCAGAGGCTGTAAAAAAATCTTGGCTCTGACCTGGATACAATAGGAGCTGTGGGTTTTCAGCCCCACTGCAAAGAAATCAGATGGATTAGTTTAAAGGACCGACTATATTAAAATAGGTACTTACTTTAATCTTCCTACATTTGTTTTTTTCCCCAAAGTGTACAAGAAGAGCATTCAGAGAATTAATATTGGATGTTCCAATTACTGTGCCATGGCTTTTAGCCTCTGTGCAATGAGGTAAAAATGGTTTGTATTCACAGGTTTTTATGTAGAAAGAATAATAGCCCTGAAAATGTTAGACTGCATTATAATTAGAAAGATCACCTGCTAGTACACCTGTTGGGTGATGGCATAATGTAATATAATTTTATGTTAATTACTTCTGTGCTTTTTTTCCGTGCACCTGCTGCTTATAATGTCAGAACTGTACAAAGGTCCTAAGAAGTGACAATAGGAGCTGCATGTCACTGATCATCAGTTTACATGTTGCATGCCTAAATGGATCTTGATTT